GGGCCACTGCTTTTGCACTCCAAGGCCGAAATATCAGCTGTCTGCGTATTAGCGCGACGTGTAGAAACTCGTTGCTTGCGCAGCTCATCGAAACTTTGACATAACTGAATCAAGGCTGTGACGGTCTGTGGGTCTTTGGCCACAAGCATATGAAAAGCGTCGTCATCAATGCCTTTCATTATGTTCTTTATTCTGTCAGCCTCCGTCATCCTGTCATCAACTCGCCTACAGAGGCTGATCACATCCTCAATGTAGCTTGTGAAGCTCTCACCATTTCGCTGAAATCGTCCCCGCAGTCCCAGTTCAGCGCGAAGCTTACGCATGACTGGACGACCGAAAAACGAGGTGACGGCCTCTTTGAAAACCGACCAGGTGGGGATGTCGGCTTGGTGGTTGGCGAACCATAGGTTGGCCAAATCCGTCAAGTAGAAGATGACGTGAATCAGCTTCGCAGGGTCATCCCACTTGTTAATCGCGCTGGCATGCTCGTACTCTGCCAGCCAGTCCTCGACATCTTGATCTTCAGTGCCGTTGTATACTGGTGGGTCACGCAGACGAAGTACACCAGAACACATGACGGGTGGCAGCGTGGAAGAGCCTTGTGGGGGATCGACGCGCTCGGTCATCGTGGACTGAGAAGGTAGCTTACGGCTGCGGAGCTCCAGGACGTTACCCAGCACGTTTCGACCAAATGCAACGAGCAAGGTTGCGCAAAAACACAGGTTATTATTCCAGAAACGTTAGCCGCAACAAGCTGGTACAGGCAGGAACCCGGCAAGCACGAGCCACACACGGACGTCAACGTCTTCTTTCACGCTGGCACAGAGCTGGCGCCACTATGCTTCGGTACAATATATATATATATATATATATATATATATGATATATGATATATATATATATATATATATATATATATATATATATATATATAATTTATATAATCTGGAAAAGTTTTCGTGAACGTTATTCAAGTCTAAAAGGGTTCAAGGAAAGCTGACATGTATTTTCAAAGGGAATGAACCCCAGCTGCACAAATTTTTTGTGTATACAGAGACAGTTTTACGCAAGTCTGATGCTCAGGGAATGCTGATAGAGTATGTGATTTTGATTTTAATGTCCATTTTCAAGTGGTGAACCTACTGACATTAACACTAGGATGACCTCATGCAACACTACTGATGGACTATTTTCAAGCGATCCCCGTACCCCCCTGCAATCATGCGAACCACTATGGGAGAAGTGTGTACGTCGAACTGGTCGGACGCGTCGGCTGTTTTACATCGCCCACTTCTCGTTAGCTCTGTGGGAGCACCAAATGAAAAATAAAAATGAAAGGCATCCCTGAATATTGACTATTATTATTACATCTAAAATGATATCTGAATGCACCGGCATGCATATCTACACATGAAATGCGAAAGGAGTGATGCAGTCAGTGTAGGTATAACCGAGCAGATGTGCACGGGATGTTAAGCAGCAAGCAAATGAATGATCACGGGCCGATGCATGCAGTCGTAACGGGCCATCATCAGCAGTAGGAGCTGCAACACCAAATTCGCAATTACTACTTGTTCATAAGTTGAACAATGAATTAATTGTTTGTGACTGGGTGTAACCAAACTACAGAGAGGTTTTACAGTGTTGAGGTACAGAGATTATTAGTTTTATTAATTCACAAGTCACACGCTGTACAAAAAAGTGAGAACAATCTAAGTGCATTTATGCATCATTTATATGTGTATAGTGCACCACGACAAGAGGACACAAAAAGACAGAGACACACACACACGCAGCGCTAACTTGAACTGCCCTTGTTATGGTGCGCTATACCCATATAAATGATGAACCCCAACCAACTAGCTCGGCAACGTGCCTTAGCGTTTAAACAAAAAGAATGGAACTAGAATTCATTTGTGGGGTTCCTTGCTGTGACAATTTGCAGTTTTTTGAGAGATGTTTTGAAGTTTTATTGCGGGTTCACCAAAACCAGTTCTTTAACTTTGTATCGGCTCATTCGAGTATTGTCAAACGTGCAATTGTGATGTCATGCAACACAGAGCATAGGAAAAAAAAACTTTCTCACATAACATAAGCAGAAGTTTACAGCTGCAAATTGATCGCCTTCAAAGCGGCGGCAGATGTGCGTATTGTTGCATCAATTAAAGAAATTGTGTTCACATAACAAATAAAGACAAATACAAATGTACTTCACTTGTTTTAGAAATAATTCAGTTAATTGACATATCTATAAGAAGTGGCATGACAGGAAAAATGTAGAGAAATGGGGGGTGAGGCTTGTGCTTGCCACCAGAAATAAGATTAGTCGAATTTGTTTCATAGTGCCCAAGAGATAGCAAGAGTTGGCAGTGAGGTTCGCTGCAGTGGAACAGTGGCTACGGTGCTCGGCTGCTGACCCAAAGGTCGCAGGTTCTATCCAGCCTGGCAGTCACATTTCGATTGAGGTGAAATGGTCGAGGCTTGTGTACTGTACGATGTCTATACACGTTAAAGAACACCAGATGGTCCATATTTCCTAAGCACACTACTACGGTGTCACTACGCAAAACAACGTAAAATGCCATATAATAATATTATTATCATTATTATTACTTGTCTGGCTGTGACCAAATAAAAATTTGGTCAGAATCATATCTTTTGTTTTGTCAGCTGTTGTAGTTAAATGCAAATTTCTCTTTCTTAATTTTTGTGTCGACATGTATATTGGCTAGACTGGTGTATGTGTTAATAGATACGCCAGCGAGCATCAAAATTCATTTAATGGAGCCGCCTGATCTCGCCTTGCTATGTCATACTTGGGTAGGCTTCAGCACGAATTCGACGAATACAAAGAAGAAACACAGAATACAGGCAACACTCATTTGTGTTCTATGTGTCTTCTTTGTCTTTGTCAAATTCGCGCCGAGTGCCATCCAAGTATGTACCAACTCGCTTTAAGTCAAAGTAATATTGCTATGTCAGTCATGCAAATGTAGTACAGTCTGCAAAAGCACAGTAGTTTTGTACCATCAATGTAATCAGACAGAGCGAGAGATTGCGGAGGCATATTATGCCACAAATAACGCCTCACTTTGTGTAAGGCAACCTTCGCGGTTGTTACTAGACAAGTGATTCGGCTGTAATAATCGACTGTGAACATGCACTCTCCTTGTTTGACTTTTCATGCCTCTTAATGACACGCACGCTACACCCTCATTTTTGTGATTTTTTTTACGTGTGTAAGAAACTTTCAGTTGTGAGTGAGTGCTAAATGGTGTGTGTATTTCTTTCCGTGTCCTGCTTTTCCTTTTTCTCTCTAAGTACTATTTCAACTTGTAGTTATAGTGCCAGTGAAGGTTAGTAGACACTTATCATAGTACAAGCGACACGAACACTGTTTCGGGAATGTATTTTATTTTAATAAATGCTAAGTATACTTCTTCAAGAATCGGAACCTCACATTATACTTGTCGACAGTGTCAATGGACATTGGTTGAAAATGCATCCACGAATCTAAGATGGCTCATGCGCTTCATAGGCAACTGAGTTGTATCTCTTTTTTTTTATTTCATTTTTTGCCATAAAGGAAAAATTCTTTGCCGTTTAACAAATTGTGCAGTGGGACTTAGGGAAACCATCGAGAGGCCCTCGCAGCTAAATATTGAAGTTCATGATGGAATTACGCAGTAATATGTTGCACCTTATTAAATTCAGAGTGTATAAAAAGTCCTGGAACGGCGTCAGTAGAAAGGTAAAGCGTCACAATGGCTTTTCAGGCGTACCAACTCTTTCCGTGAGTCTTTGCGCGTACATTGATGGCACTGGTGTCTGGTGACTTCATGCAGCAGTATGGCTGGTTGTGTCAGGTAGCAAACATTCAAAGTGGCTGCTTGTACATCACTAAGAGAGCCAAGAACAGAGCAGCCACCATGTCAATGAAAAAAAGAAACATCATCTTGTGGGAGTCTATACCATGCTCTATGATGTGAGAGAGAAGGAAAGGCAGGGAGGGTATTGAAAGAGAGGAGGCTAGGTTTGAAGATGTGGCTACTTTTTCAGAGTGCACGCGCACTTCCAGCCAGTGCATTTCCTTGGCTCTTGAGGTCTCGGGACAAAAAAAGTGCAACAACTGAAAATCTTTGTGTGAGTACCTCATAAGGACCAGATAGCGAGTGCTGGAAAGTTTGGCAGGTGGATGAGATGAAGAGTTTTACAGGAGTAACAACTGCTGTACACGTACACGAATTGCTAAAACATGGGAGAGGTGTTTACCCTGCGATTGGTTTAGGTAAGGCTGCTGAGAATGATGATGTGAGAAATTCGCCTGGATGGTACTGAATAGATTCTTGTATGTGAGGTCTTCAAAATGGAGTGCTTCGGCCACTGATCAGTAGTAATGTTACTATAGGGCACTTCTTTTGTTCACAGGAAAAAATTGTGCAAATAAAGAAAAGACACCACAAGCAAGGAACACTTAAACAGGTCGAGGGCAAACTATCAACTGTTCTATTGACTGTAGATCGTCGGTTAAATAAGGAAGTTGAACATAGCTGCGCAGCCGTACCAGGTACATCACATGCTAATGCACCTTATTGATCAAAAAGGACATTTCTGCGCTGTAGAGGGATATCGAGGCCTCACTTACACAGCTATCACTTTTCATGTTAATGAAGAACGCTTCCAACACCTCACAAGCACACATGTGTTTCTGATATGACCCCGTATCTTAGTCTGCTGAAGTAGTGCTTCACATCCACAGGCTGTGCAGTGGGCTGGAAAATCACCCATTTAGTTATTTTTTATTGACAGGAGGTGTTCCCGTAAATGGTCGTTTACGCAGCGTCCTGTGTGGCCTACATAAGAATTGATGCCGAAAAGCGGAATCTCGTACACCACTCCCACTTTGCATTGCACCATCGAGTTAACATGCTGTGAATACGTACTTTCATTGCCCCATTATTGCTGTCGTATCATAAAGTTGCTTGTTATGGTTGTTGCAGGGGAGATAACCTTTGCTGAGTTTACAGACCGCATGGACTTGTCCTTGACGCCAAAGGAAGAGAATTTAAAAGAAGGTGAGAGTGTCATCATTTATTTCTTATTGCTTTCATGGGGTACGTCGACTCAAAAGTTTTAGTCCGCCTTTCTTTCTGTCTGTATGTACATTTGTCTGTTTGTCCATCGTAACGATATCTCAAACGGCATCAAGCGATAACCCAAACGGCCAACCCTATTCGCAGCACCCACCAATATTGCTCAAGTTTCAACGTTCATACTTGTGCAGTTGTCAAATAAAAAGCAATTAATGCGCATATCTGAGGTACCATAACAACACGTATATATTTTGTATGTGTGTCTTTATACCAGACAAGGCACACATAAGTAATTCTAAGGACCGTAGCGTTAATCACGCTGCACTGACAGTGCAACGCGATGCTTAAAAAGGCAAGTGTTTCCAACACTTTGCTAAGGTGACACAATGGTGGCACCTGCCTGCAGCTTTGCGTTCTACATCTTATCGCCTCCGAGACAAACGCGCATCTTTCTCCGTGGGCACACACGCCTGCCTTCGTTTTTGAAGATGACTGCCAGAAAACGCTCGTGTCTAACGTGCCTCGATGCGCTCGTTTGGCTTCGCTGCACAGATGGAGATTCTCCAACACAGCGCTTTCAGAATAAAATTCAACGATTTTCTCAAGCAGAACACCAAATAAACGTTTTGTTTACTCTTTCCGTTTGCAAGACCATCGTCTTTTGACAACATTTGCAGTGAAGCATGCAGATACGGGACCAATTTTTTCTGTCTCCTCTGACTTTGCATTAGATTTATGCTATTCCAACTATCGCAAACACAAGCCTGAAACACATTTATGGCAGTTTCACAAAATGTTCAAGATAGCTGCTCAGAATCACACGCAGTGCCAGAGCGTCACACCTCGTGTGTTATTTCTTGTATTTATATTTAATTCAGGGAACTGTCAATTTTTAACATAATATAATTTTTAAATTCATGCTTTGGCAAAATAAAATTTAAGGCCTTCCAAATGTGAAGAGGGAGGACCAGCGTGGCTGAGAAAGCTTTCTGATGAAGAAGCGTGGCATGTGAGTTTGGCTTGATTTGCAAGATTTTTATTGGCTTGATGGTGACTCGCACTCTTGGGTTTCTAGGCATTACTGTGTTCCTAACATTGGCACAATGCACGTTCGAAACATACTGCAGACTCATGGCGAGTTCTAATAATAACTGAACAGGTTGCTAGTATCACCTCTTACGTCACGACACAATGGACAAACGCAATTGGTTGATGAGATGTATTGAAGAAATAAAATTACATCTTATTAATGAGAATTACAGATAATGATGCCAACAGAAGTATAGGGAATGGTATTGGAAGAAATTGTAATGTAAATTTGAAGAAAGATAACTTGTCACGATCAGGATCCGAACCTTCGACCCCCGAATAACACGTTCGATGCTGTACCACTGAGCTACTACTGGTGGTTTTCATTCTCCCGTCCACCTTAAAAGGCCCGTAAACCACCCAGAGGCTGAAATTCAGTTGTAGTGGTGAAACTGTGCACGAGTGTACGACGAACACAGAGCCATCAGAATGTTTCGAAACGGTGCAGTAATTGGGGAGTTTGACGCGTTTGATTATCGAAACCGTGATGACCACACTTTTCGTTCTCATCTTCGCTTCCCTCCGCTGGTATCCTCGCCCATGCCGCTTTGCCCCCTCACTGAGCGTTCCTCCCAATTTCGCGTGACATACATCATCGTTGACGCGCTGCTTGAAACACCGTCTATTTCCGATTGCCGCCACTCCGTCAGTTGGGTTGTAGCTGTGTGCTTGTTTATGAACCATGGCTGCCGTAATTGGGCCGGTATGGACCCTGCGTTGCGGGCACGCCTTCAAGGGATTGCCAACGCGATGGACCCGTATGGGGAAACGCCTATGCCTCGCACGTGTTGCACGCACATGGGCAAAACGTCGGAACAACAACAAGCAGCACAAGTAGCTCTTGCTCGGCCAATCACAGCATATTTGGCATATTTGGCACGGCGCATCAGAAATGTGGCACGGTGCGTCACACGGAAGCCCTAAAGGCCCGAAAGAAAGAGGGATTGTTTCTTAGAATTTGTGGCACGCCGGCGGCTCGTAGCACTGTCACGCATAGAATTGTTAATCACTATGGCATTCTGCACACGATGTGTGCATTTACTTCAAATGCTTGAAAAATATCGGAGGTGGTTTATGGGCCCTTTAAAGGGTATATAGATGTGCGCTTAAACGTGGGAGCATCAGTCGGTGCCGCCTGTTGCTATTGCAACGAGTGTGGAACACCCTTTTTCCTGTAGGTGTGACAAGTCCGCTTCTGAACATCCGTCGATGTCACCTGTGGAGTCTAGATGTGGAGAGCCAGATCGCCACGCTCTTGGACTGAACTGACACAGTAGACACGGTTGGAACAAATCAAACAACACACATTTATTCAAGTGCTTTTAGAACAATGATATCGCCAGCTGAGTTAGTATACATAAATTGTGATTAACATGCTAAACATCCTTACACAACGTAGCAAACACAATAACGCACTGAAGGCTTCGCCAATGCTTGACCCACCGCGAAGGCCAGCGGCAGATGGCCCGCGGTTCTGCTTACTGCGACCCGCCGCAAGAGACAACCGCTCGCTCCAACCGCAAAAGAGCACCGCTGATATCTCGGGGGCCGCCACCCAGGCCTGCCGCCAGGTGTCACGGCTGGCCGCTACGCACTGACCATGATGATGATGGGGGTGATAACAAATGCTCGCTAGCACAACGCCCCCTACCACACGGTAGTTGCAACCCGAAATGCGGCCTATGCACTAGACACATGCACCATGAAACGCAGACAACTTTACAGTGGGGTGTTATCACCGCCACATCCCCCCAACCTTAATTCAAACCATATCACGAAAAAAAAAAAATAACTGCACAATCTCTAACAAAAGATGACAACACATGTCCCTAAATAATGTCCGTGCACGATGCCACCGCCGGCGGTCGACACTGCTGCACTGTCTGGCTCAACGACTTCACCTCAGTACCCGTCCTGCAATGGCAACATTGCCGTTGGTGGGAGGAACCGTCACTCGCGCCGACACGTCTTCTTGTTGCGACCAGCACTCGCGAGGGCGCCGAAATGCAGGCAGTTACGCAGGTCTTAGGCATGTCCATCACCTGATGTCTCAACCGCATTCCTGGCCAGCGGCGCTGACGATGTGCAGAAGACAGCCAGCCGCAGGTTGCATCACTCCCGCTGTGTACATTCCAAAGCACTCGACGAAACAGTGCAGTAGGGAAAAGAAAAGGGAGCTTCGGGCTCCTCTTCTATGTTGTACGATGGCCAGTGCTGCTAGCTAATACATCAGCGGCGGCCGAGAGGCCGAGCTAAAATAAAACCGTGGTCGCTTTTCCTAACTCATGCATTGCAAGATAAAAAAGAAAATAAGGGAAGCAGCATTTAACACCTCAACGCCATGATCAACCTAGTTCTGCTACGTGTGACAGGCGGCTGCGCAGAGCCTTAGGCATAATTAGTCGCTTGAAAACATCCGGCATCCACCCAGCACCCTGCCTAGCTGCAGAAGAGGCAGCCGCAAGTAGACATCCACTCTGTAAAGTGGCCCTACTCGCTTGCCGCATGCAGCAGCTTACTGAGCGATCGGCGCCCACTGTCCTGGATGCCACAAGACAAGACATCAACGACGCCCGGTTCCCTAAGCCCAGAGAGATAGGAGGAGCTATTTACAGAAAATTGGGCCACCATCACCCATGAGGCTTCTGCACTCCGTCGCTTCAGGCTTGCCCTACAATCCAGGTGCTCTAAGTTTTGCTCACCCCAGGATGCAGACCGCATGGCTCTCGACCCAACTGAACAACGTTCTTGCAAACCAACAGCAACAACAAAAAAGTCACTTGCGAGTAGAAAAAACAAAGTCACAGCTTTGCCGCAAAGGGGAAGCAATGAACGTGATAACAACAATTTGAAAGGTCACGCGCAGAAGAGAAAGCCGATTAAAATGTGCCCCTGCCTCGCCACGGTGGTCTAGTGGCTAAGGTACTCGGCTGCTGACCCGCAGGTCGTGGGATCGAATCCCGGCTGTGGCTGCTGCATTTCCGATGGAGGCAGAAATGTTGTAGGCCCGTGTACTCTGCACGTTAAAGAACCCCAGGTGGTCTAAATTTCCGGAGCCCTCTACTACGGCGTTTCTCATAATCATATGGTGGTTTTGGGATGTTAAACCCCACAAATCAATCAATCAATCAATCAGATTAAAATGTGCCCCGCATTTCTCGAGCACAAATTACGTACGAAACGTACTCATAGGTACAGATGCACGCGAATAAGCGTCTCATTTGTTTCTTCGCTGAGTCTGAGCGCGCGCTTTTCGCGAACGAAGACTGCAATGATTGCACACCCGATAACTACAGCAGAATCGTTTCACGTAAAGCCCGACACCAGCCAAAGGGCACGATCCTCCCCTTCTCGCCACCGTGAGATAAAGGCGCGCGAGGATCATAGCTTTCTTTCTCTAAGCCGGGTAAACTCTGCGTAGGACATTAGAAGGGTGCCGCTGCACGATGTGGCAACGTGCGCTCATTGCACCATCTTTCTGGTAATGCCGAAAACACAGTAGCGGTAAGTGGTAGATATAAATAGCTTGCTGTTTCAACAGTGAAGAACGTTATCGGGGGTGGCTTTCATGACGCAGAGGTTTTACGTTCGATTCCACGCGCTGGAATGGTTTTTTTTTGGATTTTTTCTTTCTTGCGCTTTCACATATATAGACGCGTATACATATACGGTGCATGACATCGACGCCGACGACGGCGGCAAAATATAGCTGAGAGTGTCCATATAGTTGCTATCGCAATAAAAAAACACTCAACCTGCTGACAAATTCAAACAGGTTACAAAAACCGATCTCCTCGCTCTCAACGGAGCACATCGCCGGCGCTAGCAATGAAAGTCACCCTAAGCCTACTCTTTCCCGGCTCAAACAATAGCTTGTACCAAACCGCGGAAATTGTTGTCCGATGTTCTAAGAGCTCCAGGTTGGGCAGCCAGTGTGGGGTCTCGATAAGGAGAGCCTGATCGCCACGCTCTTGGAGTGAACAGACACAGTAGAGACGGTCAAAACGAACCAAACAAACACATTTATTTAACTGCTTTTAAAATGACGATATTGCCAGCTGAATACACAAATTGTGATCAACATGCTAAAAACCCTTACACAAAATTACACAACACTCATCAATGTAACAAACACAACAATGCACACAAAGCTACTTCGCCAACGCTTGACTCACCTCGAGGGCCAACGGCAGATGGCCCGCGGTGCTGCCTACCGCGACCCGCCACAGGAGACAACCCCTCGCTCCAACCACCACACGCAAAAGAGGACTACTCATATCTTGGTCACCGCCACCCAGGCCTGCCGCCACTACGCAATAATCATGATGATGATGGATGGTGATAACAAATGCTCGCAAGCACAACGCTCCCTACCGCATGGTATTTGTCAACCTGAAATGCGGCTTATGCGCGAGACACGTGCGCCATTAAGCACAAACAACATTACAAGGTGTGTTAGCACCCCCACACACCGTAGTTTCAAAGGGTTTCCATCAGCGCCTAATTTGACATACCCTTCGTAGTGATGACACGGTTCTTCGCATTAAAAGAAAAATTGCAATGCTGAACGTCATCAGGGGCCACAGAATACTGTAAAGAACTATTGAGTAAAGCGACCTCTATATTCAGCGTGGCCCCAAATATGTGACGCTAATTAAAAGCATGGCACTGCCAACGCAAAAATATTTTTTCTCTGTTTATTTGCAAGGGGAGGGTACATCCTCGCATGTGCCCGCGGCAGCAGCACCAACTATCAACTCTTTAATGACAGTCTAAAAAACGCACAATAAAGAAAGAAGACTTTTCCGCACGTGCGTGCACAGTCAACAAATGATGTACAGCAACATGGTCAAGGCAATGGGTGATCAAAAAAACGCATTTTCGTCGAACACAACATTATAGATGTTTCACTGATACAATTAGACTTTTTCTTTATGAAAAAGAATGCTTCCAAGAGGTCTCTAGCTGTTTGTTTGCTGCTCTTACCGAGAATCACTCTTTGCGCCAAGCATGCTTCACATCCGCAGGTGTTACAGTGAGCAGGAAGATGCGCATGATCTATTTTGCTTAAACCATTAACATGTTCTCCTAATCTATCATCGATGCAACATCCCGTTTGTCCAATGTGGGACTGCCGCAGCTTAGAGGTATCTCATATACCACCCCTCGTGCACAGTGCCTAAAAGATGTTGTGTGCTGCTTCTGGCAGCCCCTTGTCTCGTCGCATGTGATACGTGGGCCTAATTGAGCCAACTTGTTAGGAGCTGTAAAAATGACCATGATGCCGTAAAGGATAGCCACTTTCTTGAGGTTATGGCTCACATGGTGCATATAAGGGACTATGGCTTTACCTGCTCCCTTTCCTTGCCCTGCCGCGGTTTCTTGAGGTTATGGCTCACATGGTGCATATAAGGGACTATGGCTTTACCTGCTCCCTTTCCTTGCCCTGCCGCGGTGGTCTACTGGCTAAGGTACTCGGCTGCTGACCTGCAAGTCGCGGGATTGACTTCCGGCTGCGGCAACTGTATTTCTGATGGAGGCGGAAATGTTGTTGGCCCGTTTGCTCAGATTTGGGCGCACATTGAAGAACCCCAGGTGGTCAGAATTTCCGGAGCCCTCCACTACGACGTCTCTCCTAATCATATGGCGGTTTTGGGACATTAAATCCCACATATCATCATCATCATGCTCCCTTTCCTTGGGGCACGCATTTGCATTGGCAGCGCTGCCTTTCAACTTCTGCAGCAGTGATTCAACCATGGAATTTACGACAGTCTGGCTTCCCTGGGTCTGATACCCCTAAGCTGCAGCAAGTTCTACATCGGACAAACGGGACGTTTCAATGATAGATTGAGGGAGCATGCTAATAGCTTAGGCAAAAGAGATTGTGCACATCTTCCTGCGCACTGTAACGCCTGGGGATGTGAACCATGCTTCTTGCAAGCGGTGATTCTCAGTAAGAGCAGCAAACAAACAGCTAGAGACCTCTTGGAAACATTTTTTGTCAAAAAGAAAGAGTCTAATTGTATCAGTGAAACATCTGTAACGTTGTGTTTTACAGAAAGGCGTTTTTTTGATAGCTTATTGCCTTGACCATGTCGCTGTATGTCATTTGTTGACTGTGAACGCATGCGAGGAAATGTCTTCTTTTTTTTTCTTGTGCGTTTCTTAGCCTGACATTAAATGGTTGGTAGTTGGCGCTGCTCTTTCTTTTCTTCTGCTCCTCCCATTTTTCGAAATGTTTTTTGCACCTTAGTCATCTGCACCACGTAAGCACCAACTTGCCCAAAAACAAGTCCTTTTGGAACGAGCGCTCACTCACGCATGGGAGTTGCCGGGGCCGTGAGCGGGCCACCACTGCTACGCTCCTCGTGGCGGCGAGGCAACCACCGAAGATGTATGCTCGTGCCAAAGTGACAAAATCTGGGGCAAAATATCTAGATTTTCTGTTACGAAAATTTATTACATTAAGGTTGTCTTCAGCTGTTACTTTCTTACATAGAGGTCACAAATACATATGCTCCTATGAAGTAGCGACGGTGAATAGAAAAACTTTGTTATATCGAGCAATTCATTATATGGAGATTCGTTACAAGAAAGATTAATTGTACAAGCTGGTAGCTGACGAAGAATCTCTCGCATACTACCTGAAGGCATCAAGTCTGCCAGTATTAGACCCTCCACTATGAATGAAGGAAAGGAGCATAAATTTAAGGGCTTGCATACTTTGTTAGACACAATGTTAATGAGAACTGATAGACAATGATGCTAACAGAAGTACAGGGGATGTTATTGTAAGTGATTGTAATGTATATGTTAAGAAAGAAAAGTCGACGAAAAGATAACTTGCCACCGGCAGGATTCTAACCTGCGACCTTAGAATAACACGTCATATGCTCCAGCCCTGAGCAACAGTGGCGGTCATCCCCTGTCCACTATAAGGTATATATGTGTTTTTAAACGTGGAAGCGTCAGTCAGTGCCGCCTGTGGCCATTGTGGCAAGTGTAGAACAATCTTTTTTTTGTAGGCGTCACATATTGCGTGATCTAATAACAAGCTGGCAGCTGGCTGAGCCCTTAAGTTTACGCTCCTTTTGTTCAGTTCGTTCAGAGCGAGGGTCTCGTCCTGGCAAACTTGATGACTTCAGGTAGCATCTGAGGGATGATTGGTCAGCGGCCAGCTCGTAATTATATCATGTGGTACGTGACGCCTCAGGAAAAAGACTGCTGCACACTCGTTACAATGGCAAGCGGCGGCACTGATTGACGCTCCCATGTTTAAGTGCACATATGTACCCTATGAGTCAAATGAGGGGATGACTGTACAATAGCTGATGCGTTATTCAAAAGTCACAGATTCGGATCCTGCCAGTGACAAATTATCTTTTCGTTGACTTTTCTTTCTTTCTTCACCTTTACATTGCAATTCTGATAACATCCCCTACACTTTTTCGGCACCGTTGTCTCTTTGTTCTCATCAATATTGTGTCTAAGTGAATGAGCCCGTAAGTTTACACTCATTTTTTTTATGACATCTTATGAAAAATGGCTGTGCCCATTGCAGGACACACTAGTATGGACACACTCACATGGCTGTCAGTGTTAGCTAATGGAAAAGGAAAACCTAAAGTCCTGAGAAAAAACATGGGGCAATGCATGTTTTCTGTAAACCTACAAGCGCCAGAAACCCAGTATTTCATACAACTCCGTGAGATGATGTGACAAGCCTTCTAAAGAGGGTGCCTCGGAATCGGTGTCGCCTTCTCCAGGTGGTGACAGCCTTTGTCTAGCTGGGCACCAAATTGTGCAGGTGTTATTGACGCGGATGCTGCCTGTTTTTAATGTGATATGCAAACATGATGGTGCACAGGCGCATTAAACCACAGAAATAAGACTAACTCTGACATGATAATCTATGTGTGTACCATAGCGTGAGTCACATGCCTGGAAACAACATGGTGATTCTATCAGAGTTATTTCCATCCTAAATCTTGTCTACATGTACTCTTTGGTTATAACGCTAGACTACTTTGTAGGAATTTGCAGAGTTGGCCAGCATAGAGTGCAGTACAAATTCGAATACTTCTCAGGGGGTAAGGATATCATAGTTGAAATGAAGAAAAAGAAAAAGAGATGGGTCAGGCATTTAAGATGAAGGCAGGATAACTGCTGGTCAATAATGGTAACTGACTGGATTCCAAGAAAAGGCAAGCAGGCAAAGGGGATACAGAAAGTTAGGTGGGCAGTTGTGGTCAAGAAGGTTGCAGGTACAACGTGGTAGCAGGAAGCACAAGACGAGTTTGATAGGCAGAACATGGGAGAGACCTTTGCCCAGTAGTGGGCGTAGTGAGGCTGATGATGATGGCTCTGGAACATTCGAAACTTCTGTCCATGTCAGAATTTGCTAAAGTGTTAAAAATGGCTACCTGTGTGTAAAGGACTCTAGAAAAAAGGGAATAGTCCCGTTTGGCATCTATGATAAATATCACTGAACAGTATCTAAAGCTAGGCTAAAGTAGGGTAATTTTAGTTACAAGATTGTGTGAACAATAAAGTAGTGTTTGAACGAGCCATTTTTGTTCTTTTGTGCACCTGCACAAAGCTGCCTTTTCAGCTTAGTGCAGCTCTATGTTTGACTCAGAAAAGGGCTCGTTCACTCTTTTATAAAAGTGGACATGGGAAAAGGAAACTTGTATGTGCGACACTGATACCAGATGGCACGGTGTTTTAACTTCACTTTCCCCTGTGCAGCTGAACAAGAACTTGATGATGACTTCCTCAGGCCAAGCCATCGGAAAAACAGGGTATGTGATCCCCCTTGACAGCATATCAGAGGCAGGCGAAATGAAAGTTTGTCACACGTAAGCATTTCTTATGACATACATGTGGGCTGTTGTTGTACTGTGTGTGTAGGATGTCCCAGTTTATATATTTCATTGCTCATTTAGTACTACGATCGAACCCTGCAATGAAGAGATTTGTGGGGACTGGGAGAACTTCGTTATAGCGATAATTTTGTTTTTGAAAAATTAACATACAAGTACGGAAATGACCCGAAAAATAAAAGTTTATTGCCAAAAGTCTTTTAGCATGGCCCATCAGCCTTTGCAATTCAGCAAAAGCGTACATCTTTCTTCGTTGCACAGCAAGTGGTCTGTCACGGCATTTCATTTCATTTTTCATTTATTGAAGCCCTAAGGGCCCGGAGGCATTACATAAGGCGGGGGCAAACAATATATGAGGGACTCTTAATCACGCAAATGCCGAAAAAGGAAGAAAAGACGAAGAAAGGGAGAAAAACATCTCTGAGAAAGGAAACAAGCTAGCAGAAAAAAAAAAAACTACCATTGACTGGAAATAAAACAGCAATGTACACAAGTAATCAGCTTCATAATGCATGAGTCACTAAAAGTTAGTTATTAACATGGTTCAGCTAGGAATTCATTTCAATTTAGGTCAGATGCATTATTACTTTTTTGCGAAAAGTCGTGCGGTCAGTGGACGAAACAATACTGTCGGGGAGGGTATTACACAGGCTTATTGCATGGGGGAAAAAAAATCTTTCATCGATGATGTGCGGCACTGAATGTGTGCGATATGTTTGCTGTGGTTGAGGCGCGGCGAGATTCGGGGCGGGGGTAGAAGTCGAGGGTGCCTGGCAAGTGGGTGATAATAAAAAGAGAAGCAAGCAGAGACGCGAGATGATTCGGCGTGATTGGTGACATGGAAGTTCAAGTATGCGCTTGAGTTCTGTGATGCTAAATTTACGCGAGTAGTTTGACGTTATGAAGCGAGCAGCGCGATTCTGGACTGATTTTTATTCGAAGGCGAGATATGCTTGTGAGGGGTGCCAGATAGATTAAGCGTATTGCAATTTAGGCCGAACATATGTCCGATATGCAAGTTTTTTAATAGCGGGTGATGCAGATCTGAGATTTCGGCGCAAAAATCTAAGTGTGCGTGAAGCATGTGCGCATATTGTGTCAATGTGAGCGACCCATGATAATGACGATGTCAAGTGAAAGCCCAGACACTTATAGCAGTCTGTTCGAGTCATTTCATTTGAATGACGATGTCAAGTGAAAGCCTAGATACTTATAGCAGTCTGTTTCGAGTTATTTCATTTGAATTGATATGATATACGTGAATTGCGGTGCTGCGTTTACGGGAAAAGTACATGGATTGGCACTTATTAAGGTTAAGAGGCATGAGCCATTTTCCACACCATGCAGTGATAGTGTCAATGTCTTCCTGAAGATCAGTGGAGTCGCTAGGTTTGTGAATGGCGTTGTAGATGACGCAGTCATCGGCGAAAAGTCGAAGTCTGGTTTTTGTGTTAGATGGCAGGTCATTGACGTATATGAAAAATAATAGGGGGGATAAGCCTGCTTCCTGGGGGACACCGGATGTAACACTAGAAATTTGCGAGTCATGAGAGTTGGCAGTTGTGTATTGTACGCGTCCTTTTAAGAAATGTTCTATCCAAGTAATCAGTTTCAGGGGGATTCCAAGAGTAGATAATTTTGCAAGCAGGTGATTGTGTGGGACACGGTCGAAGGCCTTCGAGAAGTCGAGGAAGATGGCGTCAATTTGTAGATGATCGTCCATATGTTGCAAGATATCATCAGTGAAATATGAGAGCTGAGTTTCGCACGATAATAGTTTTCTGAAACCATCATTATCGTGTGCTGCTAGGAACGTCTGAATCATGCCAAATGCATCCAACACATCTCATGAGTTGGGAGGCTTCTCCACGTGGCTTGCGTCTTGGTCCTCAGTGTGGTTGGCTTCGTGCGCGCTATTCATGATGGCCTCGTCATTAAACTTTCAATTCACTAGCACATCGTAATTAGCAATATTATGGTCGTCATTGGCGCAAATAAAGTTGTCAGGAACCTTGCTGTTGAGAGAAGAAAGCGTTGAAGTTATTCGGGCACTGTGATCATGGCAGTGGCTTTGGTGTCTACGGCGACATTCTCAAAAGGCAACGTCGAGTATGCATGTGACTGCTCCTTAGTGGCTGAAAAACCCACGCTGTTTTGCTCTTAAATGCTCGTTTTCAATGTGTTTTGCTGTCTGTGGACCTTACGCAAGTATTATGTGTGGGAAATATTGAATTAATTTTCATTATTACTGGATAGCAGGTTAATATTGAATAATGCCCCATTGTTGAGCAATATGAAATGCATTAAAGGGGCCGGGCAACACTTTTCCAAGTAGCCATTTAATGGATCCATTAAAGGAGCTGAATGCCTGACAAATTCACAGCCGCAACAACTTTTAAATCCGTCCATTTCGAGCGGAGTTACCAAAATTTGTCGCACGCTGCAATTGCATTTTCTCTTCTTCTGTCCCAATCAACGTGCTGGAAGCTAGGGAATTGGGTGGCACGGGGAAGAAAATATGTCACATGTGCCCTGTGACCTTGAGCATTTTGCCTTTTTTGTTTTCTTCAAATGGGCTGCTTTTCAGTGTGATTGTGCGCTCACACGTATACAAGTCGTGGCCCCCTGCGGCGGCCTCAGTAACGACTGAGCACACCATATTTGAATCAGCCAATGGCTGATACTTGCCTGTGAAGCAGCGATTTTGGAACCTGTAGTGTCTTTTGTCGCGAGAAGAGGAAGCAATATTTAGCTGACTGAGAATTTATTGTAAATTTCTGGCCGCGTGCTGTGCTATAATATTTGGCTCGCGTGCTCTCTGAAACCTTAAATATTGATCGGTCGCATTTTCTTACCATGCTCCAAAAGGGTTGCTGGGCCACTTTAAATCTTGTGGCTGTTTGCTGGAGACAAGAAAATACTTCGTAGTTGCAGGAATTTTATCGTTCTAACCGACGCTTGATCTATGCCATGCTGTAAGAACAGACGCAGCTGGACACGAGAGACCACATGATGCTGCAGCAGCTGTAGCGTCTCATAAGCCAGTGCTGGTTTATTGTTTGAATACTTGTAAGGGGACACAGGCCAAGGTTGCTAGACAACTGTGTAATGTCTGCTGCACTTCCCTTTCTTGGTGAAGATGCATTGGTCAACATTGCATCTCAAAGGTCTGCTTGAACTGCTTGCCGTAAGACAGGACCTTCGGTGGACGATGTGTTCTCAGAGGTCTTCAAACAAGCTGTGTGTCCAAAGTGCTTTCTGCTATGGTGTTTGGTCCTACTGGTTCAGTCACAGGAGCAGATGACCAAGCATTGTCATCATAATCTTCGTCAGGGGTTCGAGGCACTTCTGAATCGCGAAGTGGCTGCACATTTTTTGTCATGCCATCATCGTACAGGTTAATAAATATGAAGGCTTCCGTCGTGCGTCGAAGATGCTGTGAATTTCGCCTGTTCTCCTCATCATCTTCAGAAAGTATTCTGTAGGAACGAGGCGCAACCTGGTCTAGCACTGTCGCTTTTTTTACCACCCCTTCTCATCCCTCAGGCGAAGGATGTCCCCTGGCTGAAGACTTGAAAGCGTTCCTTTCGGTTCACCGTGTTGAGGTGGCTTTGTGACCTTCTGGCTGCGAAGTGCATTAAAGTCGGGAAGACCAGACCTGAGGCGGTGATTGATTAGGAGTTCACCAGGGGAACTGCCGCACTCCAGAGGCTTGTGCGATAATTCAGGAGGCCTTGGTAAAAGTTACCTCCCAAATGGTGGGTCTTCTTCAGAATATGCTTCACCGATTGCACGTTCTTTCTGCCAGTCCATGGAAAGAGAGGACTTGACTTGATAGGTTTATAGCCGTACGACAGTGCAAAGCGGGTAAACTCTATGTAAACTGTGGCCCATTGTCACTAAGAACTTCCAATGGTTATCCTTGACTAGCAAAAATGGTCTGCATTTTGCGTATCACTTTTTGTGCTGAAGTACCCTGTAGCTCTTTAAAAACCTCCGAATAATTGGAGTATGCGTCGCACCAGGTACGCTTTACCTGCATATCGACATAGACCTGCTGCAACATGAATCCATGGAGAATGCGGGGTTTCTTTCATCAACAGCGATTCTTCAGGTTGGGCATATGCATCGACTTTGCAAATTTCACATCTACTGCTTATGTTCCTAATCTTTTGAGTGGTTGCTGGCCAGAATATCAAAAGCCTCGCCTTTGCGAGTGATTTTTTTATACCTAAGTGGCCTTCATGTAGCCGACTCAGCATTTCTCTTCGTGATGACCGTATGACTACTTTGGCTCCCTTAAACAACAGCTTTCCAATGACTGACAATTCTTAGTTGTACACTTTGTACGGACTCGTAAGCAGTTGTTTCTGCTCAAATTGAATTACTCTGATCACATCTGAGAGAATTGGATGTTTTGCAGTCTCTTCGACTAGTCTCGCGCTGTTATTCTCACTTACCAGACTGGTCTGGACCGATACTGCATGTACCTACACATCGCGAACTTCCTCTCTGTCACGTTGCAGTGGAAATTTCGAGCCCTAGATAGCGTGTCTGGCAGGACTAGAACTTTACCCGGAACATGGGTAAACTGGTATTCGTATCTCATCAGTTGTAGAAGCAGGGGTTGTAATCAGGGAAGCATGTCATTAATACATTTTTTGATATCAAAATTAATGGCTTATGATCTGTTTCTATGAGCACCATTCGTCCATATATAAAGTGGTGAAACTTTTCACAGCCGTAGACAATGCCTATTGTCTCCTTTTCAACTTGCGAGTATCTTTTTTCTCATTCCTTCCGGCTGTGACGGCTGTATTTAAAATGGAGGCGAAAATGCTGTAGGCCCGTGTGGTCAGATTTTGGTGCACGTTAAAGAACCCCAGGTGGTCAAAATTTTCAGATCCTTCCACAACGGC